GGCCAGGCCGGCCCGCAGTAAGTCCTGGGCAGCAGCCGCAGCCCTGCCTGCTTGCGTGGGGGGTGGGTGGGGCTTGGGGCCTCAGGGCCCCCAGGAGCCCCGGGCTGGGCCCTCTGCGACCTGGTGCCAAGGGGCTACGGGCCGTGCTTCTCGGCTACTGATCTCTCTCCACCTCTCTCCGCTCTTCCCGCTGCCCTGCGGCCCCTGCGGCCCCTCCCAGAGCTATAAGCGCGCCATCGGTGAGGTCAGTGATAAGGCCCGCTTGGGAGTCCCCGTGCCTGCCCCTTCTCCCCTGGCTTTCTTCGTACCTGACCCCACTCTCCCCACCCCCCCTCCTTACGGGTCCCCCCTCCTCCCACCCCTGCAGGATTTTGTGCTGTTGAAAGAGCGAGCCCTGGACGAGGCCCCGCGGCCTCCCAAGAAGGCCATGGACTACTCGTCCTCCAGTGAGGAGGTGGAAAGCAGTGAAGATGAGGAGGAAAGCAACGGCGAGCCCTCTGAGGGGAGCAGAGATACCCCCGGGGCCCGGTATGGGGGCACCCTGGGGGAAGGCAGGCTCCCCCTCTCCTAGATTGGAGGACCCTGGCTTTTCTGGTCTCTGGAGAAGGGGATCTGGGCTGGTGTACCCACCTGTCTCCCACTGCTGTGTCAGCTGAGGGCGGGCCTCCCCCAGGTGCCAGCACCCCCCACTCCCACGGGGCAGTGTCCACTGGAGGGGAGAGCGCTGGCCCTCCATCCCTGGCGGCGGGCTGGACCTGGGGGCTGACGGCCATCCTGTCTCCCACGGCAGTGACGGAGACACCGACAGCGTCAGCACCATGGTGGTCCACGACGTGGAGGAGATGGCCGGGACCCAGACCCCCTATGGGGGCGGCACCATGGTGGTCCAGCGCGTGAGTGGCCCCCCTTCTTCCCCACGCCTGCAGTGCCCCCCGCCTCTGGCCCGGCACTGGCTCCCTTCCCTCTGTTTCTCAGACCCCCGAGGAGGAGCGCGGCCTGCTGCATGCGGACAGTAACGGCTACACCAACCTTCCCGACGTCGTCCAGCCCAGCCACTCGCCCACAGAGAGTGGCAAAGGCCAAAGTCCCCCCTCGAAGGACGGAGGCAGCGACGTAAGTGGGCACATGCAGCCCCAGGCATGGGGCCGTGGGCGGGGGTGCGGTCGGGGTCTGGAGCGTTTGCCTGACCGCTGCCCCACCCCCACAGTACCAGTCTCGTGGGCTGGTAAAGGCCCCTGGCAAGAGCTCATTCACCATGTTTGTGGACCTAGGGGTCTACCAGCCCGGAGGCAGTGGGGACACCATCCCCATCACAGGTGAGGACGGCAGGAGGTGTGGCTTGAGGCCAGGGGGAGGGCACAGGCTGACTGCTGGTGGCGTGGCTTTCCCGAGCTGCCGGGCCTGCACTTGGGCCTGAGCACCTGCCCGGGACAGAGGCAGCCGGGGCGCCTGAGGGACAGGATGGGGATTTTGCTGGGCCTTCTGCCCACTTTCCACTCCTCCCTGCACTTTGTTCTTTCTCCACCCTTCCCCTGTCCTGCTGAGTATGCAGAGGAGCCCCCCAGCGCCAAATGTAGGAGTGGGGTGGGGAGGGCTGGGGGGAGGGGGCTGCAGCCCTCCTCCCCCTTCTCTTCTCTTTCCGGCAGCCCTGGTAGGGGGAGAGGGTGGCCGGCTGGATCAGCTCCAGTATGACGTCCGGAAAGGGTCCGTGGTCAACGTGAACCCCACCAACACCCGCGCTCACAGCGAGACCCCCGAGATTCGGAAGTACAAGAAGCGGTTCAATTCAGAGATCCTCTGTGCGGCCCTTTGGGGTGAGCCAGGGCCGGGGGCGGGGGGAGAGCGAGGGCGGCCGGGAGGGCGGGCTGCAGGTGACCCGCTGGCCGCTTCCGCTGCAGGCGTCAACCTGCTGGTGGGCACAGAGAACGGCCTGATGCTACTGGACCGCAGCGGCCAGGGCAAGGTGTACGGGCTCATCGGGCGGCGGCGCTTCCAGCAGATGGACGTGCTGGAAGGTCTCAACCTGCTCATCACCATCTCAGGTGCGCGGGCGCAGCGCTCACGGGGCCCGGCGCGGGGACCCCTGCGCTGTCCCACCTGCAGCCTGGGAGGAGGCGGGGACTCCCCTGACGCCACCGTGGGGGTGCGGCCCGCCGCTGGCGAAGGGGGCGGGAGGCCACGCCGGACGGCCGGTGAGGGCCTGTGTGTCCGCCCTCAGGGAAAAGGAACAAACTGCGGGTTTATTACCTGTCTTGGCTCCGGAACAAGATTCTGCACAACGACCCGGACGTGGAGAAGAAGCAGGGCTGGACCACCGTGGGGGACATGGAGGGCTGCGGGCACTACCGCGTGGGTGAGGAGGTCACCGCGGGGCGGCCCTGGGGGGCCTGGGCAGCATGGCCGGGTGGCGGCCCCTGGGGGGCCAGGCGCTCAGTGACAGGCCTCTGGGACCCAACCCTCCCCCGCCCTGCCCGCAGTGAAATACGAGCGCATTAAGTTCCTGGTCATCGCCCTGAAGAGCTCCGTGGAGGTGTACGCCTGGGCCCCCAAGCCCTACCACAAGTTCATGGCCTTCAAGGTAGCCCCGCCGCAGCCCCCCACCCCCCCAGCCCGGCCGCAGCTGCAGCCCCTGAGCCCCTCTCCCGTCCACAGTCCTTCGCCGACCTCCCTCACCGCCCTCTGCTGGTCGACCTGACTGTGGAAGAGGGTCAGCGGCTCAAGGTCATCTATGGCTCCAGCGCCGGCTTCCACGCAGTGGACGTGGACTCGGGGAACAGCTATGACATCTACATCCCCGTGCACGTAAGCTGGGCGGGGCTTGGCGCGGGGCGCGGCAGTGAGCCCAGGGGGTGTGGGGCGTGGCCTGCAGCACGCCCTCTCACCCCCAGATCCAGAGCCAGATCACGCCCCACGCCATTATCTTCCTCCCCGACACCGACGGCATGGAGATGCTGCTCTGCTACGAGGACGAGGGCGTCTATGTGAACACCTATGGGCGGATCATTAAGGACGTGGTGCTGCAGTGGGGAGAGATGCCCACCTCTGTGGGTGAGCGAGGCGCCCGCCCCAGGGCTGCCCCCTGGGCCCCCAGCCACCGCTGCAGCCCACTCACTGGCCCTCCTGCCCTTCTCCCCCAGCCTACATCTGCTCCAACCAGATCATGGGCTGGGGTGAGAAAGCCATTGAGATCCGCTCGGTGGAGACGGGCCACCTGGACGGCGTCTTCATGCACAAACGGGCCCAGAGGCTCAAGTTCCTGTGCGAGCGGAACGACAAGGTGGGAGCCCCTGTTCCTGCCCCTGCTGGCGGACTCGGTGCGGGGGGGGGGGGGGTCGCCGTGGGGTCTTCTGGGGGCACAGCCTGCATCACAGCCTCCTTTCCTCTCCCCCACCATCACGCGGGCTGCCCTCTCCCCAAGCAGCTCTGCCTCGGGGGGGGGGGGGGGGGGGGGA